GAACTGCTGAGGCCAAACCTCAGGTTCAGCTCTGGGGCTCCTTGTGTAAGAAGGACATGCAGCTATTAGAACAAGTCCAAAGGAGGGCCATGAGCATGAGTGATGGGCTGGAGCACCTCTCCTATGAAGACGGGCTGAGGGAGTTGGGATTGTTCAGCCTGGAGAAGAGAAGTCTCCAGGGAGACCTTACAGTGGCCTTCCAGTACCTAAAGGGGACTACAGGAAAGCTGGGGAGGGACTCGTCATCAAAGAGTGTAGTGACAGGACTAGGGGTAATGGTTTAAACTGAAAGAGGGTAGATTCAGGTTAGGTGTTAGAAAGAAGTTCTTTACTCAGAGGGTGGTGAGGAAAAGGCTGCCCAGAGAAGTTGTGGATGCCCCATCTCTGGAAGTGTTCAAGGCCAGGTGGGACGGGGCTTTGAGCAAGCTGGTCTAGTGGAAGGTGCCTCTGCCCATGGCAGCTGAGTTGGAATTATGTGATCTGTAAGGTCCTTTTATACCCAAAATAGTTTGTGATTCTGTAAATATGAAACACAGCAACGTACCAGCTACTAGCAAGAAGAATTTACTCTATTGGAGCCAAAACTAGGATAATATCCACCCCTCATTCCATAGCATGTCTGCCATGCTCTGGCCTGACTCTTTCCAGTTAATCACCACCATCTTTCCTGTCTTTTGATATGCACACAAAAATGTTATTATTAGTCTATTAGTGTCTAAAACATTAACATTAACATTAAGAAGAACAACAATTATGTCTTCCTTTTGTGTCCTATGAAACTGCCTTTATCTCAACCCATGAACTTTTACATTTTTTTTCCTCCCAATTCTCTCCTCCATCCCATTCATTAGATGAATAGTTTTGTAGTGCTGAGCTGCCTGCAGGGTCAAACCACAGCAAGTCTTCATAGTGCCTAGCGTGGAGCACAAAGGTTGAGATGCCAGATCTGTTTTAAAAGTAAATTGTTATAAACATTAGATCAGTTTAATAGTCGCTGATCACAGTGTTGATCTTTTTGATCTGGGGTCTGTTGTGCTTGTTTTCAGAATTGTGTTGCATAGCACATTACTAACTGTCTGTCTTCCATGTCATGCTGTTTATCAGTTCTGGGGACTTGTCTAAGGTTACTGCCTTGCTGTATTGGATAACACTGACTTCTGATAGAATAATATTGCCGCCTCCATAACTCGGGAACCATCTCTTCAGCTCTTAGAAATTATTTAGAATTACACTCTTTTATACTCTTTGCCTTTTATTTTCGAGAGTAAATCTATGCAGGGTGGGTGGTGATGGTGAGTGGAACAGGGAAGGACAGTGGGGGATGCTTTTCACCACTTCTTCCCTCTCCCTTTCTCCTGCACCTCCCCCTTCTCCTCCAGGACAGGCCTGTCCAAAGCCACTCCAAACCCTGCAACAGGCTCTGCAGACACTCTGGCTCCTGAGGTGTGCCCAAAGTTAAACTGACACACGTGACAGGCCCTATAGCCACTCCCAAACCTGCTATAGGCCCTGCAGCCACTCCAACTCATCCAAAGGCCCCACAGCCAGAACAACTCCTGTGATGGGCCCAGCAGCCTCTCCAGCACCTGCAATGGGTTCCATGGCTGGGTCAGAGAACCAGCCTGTGCCAGTATCAGTTGCCTCTACATGCAAGAGAAAACAATAGGTGTGAAAGTCAGTTTTTCTTTTGAGATGAAAGAAACTCCTACCCAGACAAGAAAGGAGGAAGAAGAAGATGAGGCAGGTTTCTCCAAAGTTGGGCCATCTTGGAAGCAGGAGGAAAAGGGCACAAGGAACTTACTCCCATCATGCTTGAAGGAAAGGTCCCTCTTTAAAGAAGATCTTGTATGTCAACCAGGAAAGTGGATCACCATGCAGAGGGGTATCCGTTCCTGAGGAAATTAGGGGTGCTGAAGGCAATTTATATAAACCTAGGTAACAAACAAAGATCCAGATGAAGTCTGGAGGTCTTGATGAGTCCAGATGAGTTGTACAGAGCACACCATCATCATATGCCAACCCATGGGCAGTAATGACCTGGAAAGACCAAGAGGAACCCATGGTGGATGAATTGGCTAGCCAACTATGGCATTACAAAGCAAGTCTCTCTTCTTCCCTATGGGCCTGTGTCTTGTCCAGAAAGAAACTTTCCCAAGAGGTCCAGCAACTCCAAGAGAATACGGCTTCCTCCCCACCTGCACGAACCAATAGCTCAGCTATCAGATGTAAGCATCCCTCTGCTTAAGAAAGGTGACATAGTGGGTATATACCAGGTTCCATCTTGTGCTTTTGACTGTGTGACCATGGAGAGGCCATGAGAAAATGAGATGCAAAAATCGACCTCCACCTTAGAGGCACGGATACATGAAGTGCAAGGAAAAAAAGATTGTCAGAACGGGGTTCTTCTGAGACACTTGCTACTCAAATTCCTAGTGGGCAATCCTCCAAACAGAGTAAAGAATACTATGAGCAGGACTAGAGGGGCCCAGCCTCCACCCTGGGGGAGGGAGAGAACAATTGGGTATATTGGGCTTTGAGGATTATTGGCCTGGCACATCAAACCCAAGAGTTAACTATACAGGAGGCTGAAGTGAGTGTAACAGGGAAGGAGTGGCAAATGCAACCCATTGGGACTGGCCTGGAGGCTCTGTGTAACATTGTCATAGACTACTTCAGGAGATCCACAAGGGTATTGGTGGGCTTTTGGCATAGCTGCCTTGCAGGTGGAGGACACCAAGCAGTTCTCTACCTTGCCCACTCTTTCACAGGACCCTTCTGCTGTGGCGGTGCTGATGGCCAATGAGCAGCAGGAGCCAATCGCTACCACAACAGTGCGACCGAGGCAATATTGCACTAACAGAGACTCCCTGAGTCCCATCCATGAGCTGGTTCATCGACTGGAGAGCCATGGAGTGATCAGCAACAATTGCTCACCCTATAATAGTCCCATATGGACAGTAAAAAATTCTAATGGTGAGTGGAAGATAACGGTGCACTTCTGTGGCTTGAATGAAGTCCCACCACCACTGAGTGATGCTGTGCCAGGCATGCTAGAACTTCATTCAGTACGAACTGGAGTCAAAGGCAGCCAAGTGCTATGCCACAATTAATATTGCTATGTTTTGCTAATGCATTTTTCTCCATTCTTTTGACAGCAATACGAAGGCCACACTTTGCTTTCACATGGTGGGTCGTCCTGTCCACCTGGAATTGACTGCCCCAGGGTTGGAAGCACAGCCCTACCATTTGCCATGGGCTGATCCAGACTTCTCTAGAGTAGGGGGAAGCTCCTGAAAACCTTCAATACCTTGATAACATCACTACATGGAAGTAGCACAGCGGAAGTATTTGAGAAGGGAAGCAAATGTTGCAAATCCTTCTGAAAACTTGTATTGCCCTAAAACAAAGTAAGGTCAAGGTAAGGTAAAGAGCCGAATGCAGGCTGTCCAGGTTCTGTGGGACCCCTGCTTCGGGAAAGATTGGGCGTTGGTCAGTGTGTGATGAGCAATTGCACTGTGCATCACTTGCTTTATACATATAAACATAATAAAAATAAGGTTTATAATTATTTATTATTAGTATTGTTACTGTTATTACTGTCTCTTCATTTTCTGTCCTTTTAACTACCTTTGTTTCAACCAATTATATTTTGCGTGTTGGGTGTGAGCTAACATCTGTGTGGTGCTGAGGTTCCTGACAAGTTAAAGCACAACGTGTTTAACAACCACAGTCCAACAGCACAAATCACACTTTAAACAATCAGTCTCTGGCATCTACAGAGAGAAGAAGTTGGTGATGACTTCAGGCTGCTTCAAACACCACACCCCAGCAGAGACCCTGCTGCTCTCAGGAGCTGTCAGCCCTGAGGCCTTGGGGACACCTCGAGGGAGCCCAAGGGCACAGAGCAAGTGATGCCATGGTCGGGTGCTGTGCTGCTGAGCTGGGCCGGGCTCCTGGGCCCAAGGGGAGATCCTGGTAAGCGCTACAGAGAGACAGCTCTGCCCAGGAACAGCTCCTCTGCACAGCGCAGCAGGGCTGGGGGCTCTGTCCGCAGCTGGCACACAGAGAGGAGAGAAGGAGAGAGGGCTTGGAGGCACTGAGGAGCGCAACAACAGAGGGCAGCGTGTGGCAGGACACATCTGCAGGCTCCTGACACCGTGAGGCTCTGGCAGCAGGGCACTGCAGGTGGGGTTGCCAGAGGGGTCTTGTACAGCTGGCACATCCGATGGCTGATAGCATCTGTCAGGATGGTTCAATCTGTTTCTCCAGTGACAAGTAGAAGATGATTTAGAAAATGGCATTTATGAGTCATTTCCAGAAGAAGATTGAGGCTCGGTTTTTGTGACAGAGAAGGTTTATTTTGGTTCTGTGCTTTCCAATTCCTGAATTGCAGGGGAGGCAGGTCTGATCGCAATGTGTTCTCAAGATTGTACAAGAGACTGAGAATCCCAGAGCATTGCACAGAGAGATCTGAATGGAAAAAATGAGATTCTTACAGGTTCTAGTGCAATGAGAGAGGATCATTTGGGGGATGATCTAAGACATGGAATAGGTTTTCCTTATTGAATTCTGTTCTAACTTCTGCATTCTCCTCTTCAACAGGCAGCTGTGTTTAATGTCAGCAAATGCCCAACAGCAGCTCTGTGAGTGAGTTCCTCCTGCTGGCATTCGCAGACACGCGCGAGCTGCAACTCCTGCACTTCGCGCTCTTCCTGGGCATCTACCTGGCTGCCCTCCTGGGCAACGGCCTCATCCTCACCGCCATAGTCTGCGACCACCGCCTCCACACCCCCATGTACTTCTTCCTCCTCAACCTCGCCCTCCTCGACCTGGGCTGCATCTCCACCACTCTGCCCAAAGCCATGGCCAATGCCCTCTGGGACACCAGGGCCATCTCCTATCAAGGCTGTGCTGCACAGGTCTTTCTCTTTGCCTTCCTGGCAGGTGTGGAGTTTTCTATCCTCACCGTCATGGCCTACGACCGCTACGTTGCCATCTGCAAGCCCCTGCACTACGGGAGCCTCCTGGGCAGCAGAGCTTGTGCCCAGATGGCAGCAGCTGCCTGGGGCAGTGGCTTTCTCAATGCTGTCCTGCACACGGCCAACACATTTTCCCTGCCCCTCTGCCATGGCAATGCTGTGGAGCAGTTCTTCTGTGAAATCCCCCAGATCCTCAAGCTCTCCTGCTCACATGCCTACCTCAGGGAAGTTGGGGCACTTGTGTTTAGTGTTTCTTTAGGCTTTGGTTGTTTTATTTATATTGTGGTGTCCTATGTGCAGGTCTTCTGGGCCGTGCTGAGGATGCCCTCTGAGCAGGGCCAGCACAAAGCCTTTTCCACGTGCCTCCCTCACCTGGCTGTGGTCTTCCTAATGGTTGTCACTGCAACAGTTGCCTACCTAAAGCCCCCTTCCATTGCTTCCCCAACCCTGGACCTGGTGGTGTCATTTCTGTACTCAGTTCTGCCTCCAGCAGTGAACCCCCTCATTTACAGCATGAGAAACAAGGAGCTCAAGGGTGCAGTGAGTAAAATCTTTCTCTACGTGCCTCTTAAGTATCAAGAATGTCTTCAATATCTTTGATTTTGGTTTAATATTATTCTTGGCCTTCTTCCTGTTAATTCATTTACTTACTTTGACGGTATCATCTAAACTACTTATAGAACTAGGATTCTAGTGTACATATAGGGAATAAAGAAGCCATGAGAACTTTACTGATCTCAACTTTCCTTTCTTCCCATCACCTCTCTAGCCAGGGGAGCAGTCCCAGCTCAGGGCCAAGAACCCAGCTGCCACTGGGAGGGGCAGCCCCGGTGGCCCTCAGGGCTGCCCTCCACTGCCCGCTGGGCTCTGACCTCTCTGCTGCCTTGATAGAATCATAGAAAAAGACCTCCAAGTTCGTCCCATCCAATGACTGTCCTTCTAATCATGTCACACAAACCCACATTGCTAAACACCATGAGGTGGGTTTCCTTCTCAGCCCCTTACCTTTACACTTGTTCTCTTGATGAACCTGTTCCCTTCCCTTTACAATACCATTAATATGCTCTATTTAATCCTAGATAACTTTTTACCAATGTAAAGAAAACCCTAAAGCGCAAAGTTTGCCCATAGCCTAACCACAGACCTGACACCCCAAGCAGAACACCAAACCCTCCCACCAAGCATTTGTTTAATCTCTAACCCAAAGCCCCTGTTCTTGTGCATTAACCTCCTCATGTTAAACCCTCTCCTAAACCTTAACTCTGAGATCATGAAAGCCATCAGAAAGCTGATCCCAGTGAGATGACTGATATGGGAGGTCAGGAGAAGCATGGACAGGAGAGATGTGAGATGTGGGGGAGGGAATAGGGGCTTGACCAGCAGAAATTTGGGATTTTGTAGAGGTAAGAGGATTCAGGTTATGCTGATGCTGCTGTAATACTGACTTAAAAGAGCCATATTAGGCCCTTCCCCACTTTCAACCAGTAACCTTAATTCATAAATATAAATGCTACCCCACACCCTGAAAAGAATCTACTACTCTCATGCCTGACTTCAAAGTATGCACTGAAGCCAAAACTCAGCCCATAGCCTCTTGCCCTTACCTTTACTCTGTGGCTTACCTTGACCCCTGCCCTTAACACAAGCTTGTAATTGCTCTATTTAACCCTAGATTTCTAGGCAGACCTAAACAAAACCTTGAAACACAAACCCTACCCATCCCCTAACCACAGACCTGACACCCCAAGCAGAACATCAAACCTGCCCACAAAACAACGGATTAATCTCTGTTAATCACTCAGAAAGGTGAATCCTAGTCCCTAATCCCAAAAGTAAACATAAACCAGACAAAGCCTTCATTCCTCTGCATTAACCTCCTCACCTTCAGACCTTCTCCTAACCCTTAACTTTGGTCGTTTCGCCCCTTGGGGCAAGACAGGAATTGTGACACTTCTCTGAAGTCACATGGCATTCAAACATGGATGTGAGCAGCAGCAGGAACTGTGAGGTCACTTCTGTCTGTAGGTGGCAGGTCACCCTTGGCTTCTCCCTGGGAGCTGCACTTTTGGGCTGACATCTGGCAGTGGCCCTGCTAGGCCAGCAGAAGGCACCTGCTTGGCATGCTGACTGGGGGATCCCCTCTGCCTACACACCCAGGAGGACCCAGGCAGACAGAAGGCCCCCATATGGGTTGTCCTGTCCCTTCTGCTTGAGTCCTTGACTGGGCAGCAGCAGGCACAAAGCTTGGCTGTGTCTAGCCAAGAAGCTGCAAGGCCAGCAGCAGGCCCCTGGCTTGGGAGATGCTGGTGAGTATCTATGATCAGACCCTAGCTTTGTGTTTCAAGGAACAGCTGGTGAGGGCTGATGAGACACTGGTGAAATGATGGAAATGCTGGGATGAGAGCAAGGTGGTGAACAGAGATGGGTGTCTGCACACTTCTAGGAAATAGGAAAAAGCGTGGGACAGCATAGGAAAGCATGCAGAGGAAAAGACAAAGGTTGCTGGTAAAAAAGGTAGGCCCCAACAGTCCTGACGCTTTGGCTAGAGCTTATGAGAAGATGACATATAGTTATTGCAGTGCAGCCTCCTTGCTTCCTTGCAACCCTGTGCAGAGGCAGGGTGGTGTCATACTAGTGTTCTTCTCATGGCATCACACTGACCACCACATTCCTCAGACCCCCAAGAAAAGTCCTGAGGCAGACAGGGGGGTGCAGGATCTCTCCTCGCAGTGACTGGGGTCAGGCCTTGGCCCTTTTGCTTCACCTAAACCAACCAAGACTTTTCTCAGCACAGTGCTTTGCCTCTCTGTAACCATGGCCTCCAATTATCTGCCCTAACAAGTGCCTGGGGAAGCTTTGTTAGTAACAGCCCTCAGTGGGACCATTAAGACTCCAAGTCACTTCAGCTTTTCCTTCTGAGTTTGCTTTTTCACACAGTTGCATCATTCTCCGCTCAGTACCCAAGTTTCATTGACTCAGCACCAAAATACACCATGGAACTCATTAAAACACAGAAACTCCTAAGGAGCCATGTCTCTTCCAACATTTTCTTCAAGTATTCAAGACTTGATCAGCTCATTGGAGAGCTTTCATGTTGTAGTTAAGGGGGAAGATTTCAAAGAGCATCTACTAAAAATCTTTCTTCATTTTAAAGGCTGAATTTTGTTGTGTTTCAATTTAGAGCATCATTCTCCTGGTCTAGGGTTTCTCCTTTGAAACCCTGTTTAGGTGGGAAGAGCAGGGTTTTAAACTACAGTTCAAGTTCCTTATTTTATTGCTTCCAGTGATGTTTACCTTCCCAAAATGATGACTGTACATGATGTATTTTACAGTGATTTAAGTAATTGTGTTAATATTAATCCATATCATACTAATTCAATGATAAATGATGAGGGTCTTACTAAGGAAACCATTACAAAGACTGCCGAGAGATGGGCGACCTTGAACTCACTGAAACTCAAAATAGCAACTGGGTTGGTGAGAGCTGTCTGAAGGATTAAACGGTAAGAGGAGGGCAAACCAGGAGAATGATGGGAAGTGCATAGGTCCAGACAGGCAGCTGGAAAGGGGACATTCAGCAGGGTCTGTGTAATCAAGATGAGTTTTGTGCCTGGAAGATGAGGGAGGGAGCACAGCATGATAGAAAAGCAATGACAATGCAACTACAGGTGAACACCAGTATTTCTTCTCCTGGGATGAATATGCATCCTGAAAAATCACATTTCTTCATGATAGAAATTACACTTCACATGAGACATTTTACAGAAAGGATTGAGTCTTTTGAGCTGATGAGTTGTTGCTTTATTATTCAAGTACTGAAAAATATACTGGATATTCTGGCAGAGCGTTGCTGTCTGAACATAAGCATAACCAGGGAAAACCTCCAGTGGCCCCGCTGTGTTTGAGGCACTTCCCTGGACCAGCAGATGTCAGAAAAGACCTGCAGGATGCCAGAGCCCTTTGGGAAAATCAGGTGGAGCCAGGTGGAGTTCCCAGGGCACCTCCACTGCCAGCAGTGCTCTTTGTCCCTGTAACTGCAGCCCAGTCCAGCACAGGAAATCCCTTCAAAGACAAACCTCTTCTTCAGTGGTGTCCTGGGATTCACCTAGATTTGAAATGGCCATTGGAAACATGAGACACTCTCCCTTATTCCTACTAGACATGTGAGCATGTGTTTATCTTCCTGGGTCATCTTTAGCAAACTCAGGCTGAAAAACTCAAGTATAGCATGCTTCAAATGGCTGAGGCAGAACCAATCAGCTTGCCCCACTTTGGAAATGGCTCCCGGCCAAGTAAGGATTTGAACGCAACAAATATGGAATGACCCGTGAGGTCAATGTGCAGAGTAAGGGAAAGTCACACATATTGTGCCTGAGTAGCAGAAGGCAAAAAGCATTGCATTGTGCCTCAGAATAATCAAGGAGACCTAATCCAGTTCATCCATGAGGAAAAGCAGAGAGAGAAAGACGTTGATTTTGGCCTAGCATGAAGAAGGATGTGCATCACTGGTGAAGGAACCAGCATTCGTGCCATCACCAATGTGAATTACACAAGCACCAGCACACCTAATGGTAACCTGTCCTCCCCGGCTTGGTATTCCCACAGGGCGGGGGAAAGGGAGCCGACAGCCAAGGGACGCATCTGAGTGTGAAAGTTGGGGCCCAGCAGAGACAAGGAGTCAAACCCGGGGCCAGGCGGGTGGCAGAGCCCCATGCCCCATGCAGGGGCTGGCTGGGGGTCCCCTCTGCTGCAGCCAGCGCATGCAGAGTGGCAAGAGGAGGGCTCCCTGCACATCACAGGGCACAGCCTGGCCCCGCAGGGGCTCTTCCTGACATCCCTGCAACTCCTGGCAGGCTGCGGTGACGTGCCCCTCAGCCTTCCCTCCTGTGCTCCCAGGGCACATGGCTGCCTCCTGCCCAGCTCACTGCCCACCATGAACGTCCAACACAGCTGCTTCCCAGGTTGGGCCTTGCCCAGGGTCAGTCTCTTGCAGGGGCAGAAAATGGCCCTTGTCCTGGTGGCTTTTCATGGTCTTCCTATCAATACATGCTCTTCTCATCCTTGAACTCTTTTTACTGAATACAGAGGCCTCGGTGACCATTTTGGTTCTGACTAATACCAAGAAAACATGTCTACTTCGTCTCTGTCTGCTGCTATGAGCTGTCTGTGAGACATGGATTTGCTATCAGATCTTTTCCTCTGACAGTCTCAGCAATGCCCGGTGATTGGACAAGACATGGGAATTGCACACAGGAAAACACTTTTACTGTGAGCAATATCAAGAACTGGATCATGTTTCCAATACCAAGCACTTGATCAGGTTTCCCCCAAAGTGGGGGAGTCCTCCTCAACTGGAGATACCCCAAACCCAAGTGGAAATGGGCCTGGGCTGCCTGGTGTAGGTGTCCATGCGTGTCTAGTGGGGGTGGCTAGATGGGCTTTGGAGGTCCCCTCCAAAGGCTGCAGGGAGGGAGTGCCTGCCAGGGCAGAAAGGGCAGCCCCAAAGGAGGACACCAGGGCTTTCCAGCACGTTGCAGCAGGGATCTTCATCCCAAAACCACTGCTGTGCCTGAGAAGAATTTATGAGAAATGAGATCCACAGAAACTGCCTACCTGCTGGTTCCTTTATTTAGTTAGCTACAAAGAGCTTAGAAGCACCTCTACAGGAGATCTTTGGGTAAAAAGAAAAGTTAGAAGAAGACAGAGGAAGAAAAATATCTTAAATTTATAAAATGAAATTATAAAATTATTTACAATATTGGTATGATATTGAAAAGGATGAGAATTTTTTGAAATATATGAACAAGGGTGTTTCTGCCTTCTCCAGGTATACTTCAGGGAATCAGATGCAGAAGACCATTTCCTTTTTGAAATACTGAATATTGCAATAACATCCTCAGTGCCTCCTTGAGCTCTTTATTCCTCATGCTGTAGATGAGGGGGTTCACTGCTGGAGGCAGCACTGAGTACAGAACTGCCACCACGAGATCCAGCGATGGAGAGGAGATGGAAGGGGGCTTCAGGTAGGCAAACATGACAGTGCTAAGAAAGAGGGAGACCACAGCCAGGTGAGGGAGGCACGTGGAAAAGGCTTTGTGACGGCCCTGCACAGAGGGCATCCTCAGCACTGCCCTGAAGATCTGCACATAGGACACCACAATGAAAACAAAACAACCGAAGGCTAAAGAAATACTAAACACAAGTGCCCCAACTTCCCTGAGGTAGGCATTTGAGCAGGAGAGCTTGAGGATCTGAGGGATTTCACAGAAGAACTGGTCCACAGCATTGCCTTGGCAGAGGGGAAGGGAAAATGTAGTGGTAGTCTGCAGGACAGCATTGAGAAAGCCACTGCCCCAGGCAGCTGCTGCCATCTGGGCACAAGCTCTGCTGCCCACGAGGCTCCCGTAGTGCAGGGGCTTGCAGATGGCAACGTAGCGGTCGTAGGCCATGACGGTGAGAAGAAAAAACTCTGCACCCGCCAAGAAGGGAAAGAAAAAGACCTGTGCAGCACATCCTTGATAGGAGATGGCCCTGGTGTCCCAGAGGGCATTGGCCATGGCTTTAGGAACAGTGATGGAGATGCAGCCCATGTCGAGGAGGGCGAGGTTGAGGAGGAAGAAGTACATGGGTGTGTGCAGGCGGTGGTGGCAGGTTACGGCGCTGAGGATGAGGCCGTTGCCCAGGAGGGCAGCCAGGTAGATGCCCAGGAAGAGCGTGAAGTGCAGGAGCTGCAGCTCGCGCGTGTCTGCGAATGCCAGCAGGAGGAACTCAGTGATGGTGCTGCTGTTGGGCATTTGCCTGTTTTGTGTATGTTGTCCTGCTAAGGGAACAGAAATATAGTGAAAATATATCAGGATTATCTGAGAAAAAACATTTCCATTTTTCAATTAAACCTCTCAAAGCATTTTCCGAACTGCACTTAGACAGTTGGCAGATCCCTTTCCTTCATTGGTTTCAGTTGTTCTCTCTAGTACAATCCAGACAATTCATTGTCATGAAACCTGCCTCCCCTCCATACTAGAAGCACAGAATCCAAGAAAGTCTTCTGTTTCAGATAAACCAAGCCTTGATCTTCCTGTTAAAATGCCCCCTCAAAAATACTATTCCGTAAAACATCTTCTATGCCACATTACAGGTAGAATAAGACCCATCCTGACAGATGCTATCAGCCATTGGATGTGCCAGCTGTAGAAGACCCCTCTGGCAACCCCACCTGCATGGCCCTGCTGCCAGAGCCTCATGGTACCAAGAGCCTGCAGATGTGTCCTGCCACACACTGCCCTCTGTTGTTGCGCTCCTCAGTGCCTCCAAGCCCTCTCTCCTTCTCTCCTCTCTGTGTGTCAGCTGCGGTCAGAGCCCCCAGCCCTGCTGTGCTGTGCAGAGGAGCTGCTCCTGGGCACAGCTGTCTCTCTGCAGCACTTGCCAGGAGCTCCCCTTGGACCCAGGAGCCCGGCCCAGCTCAGCAGCACAGCAGCCGACGATGGCATCGCTTGCTCTATGCCCTTGGGCTCCCTGGAGGTGTCCCCAAGGCCTCAGGGCTGACAGCTCCCCAAGGCAGCAGGGTCTCTGCTGGGGTGTGCTCATTGAGGCAGACTGAACTGATCATCTACTGCTCCTCTCTGAACACAAGATTTTTAGAAGTGTGATTTGCACTGTTGGACTGTGATTGTCAAACATGATGTGCTTTAACCTGGCAGGCAGCTCAGCACCACACAGCTGTTAGCTCACACCATCCCCCCCAAATTCTTATAGGTTGAAGTCAGTGCAGTTGAAAGGACTGAAATGGTAGAGAAAGAATTATAATAGCAATTATTTTTAGTACTATTATTGTTATGTACAAAGCAAGCTATGCACAGTGCAATTGCTCATTACTGACTGGTGTCCAGCCTGTCCCCAACTGGTAGAACATTGTGGTAACCATCTGCACCTGCTCTTCTTTGACCTTCAACAAGTCCACAAATGGAAGGGTCCTCCCAGGGACTGGGAAAGGTAGACAGCTCTTTAACATCCTTTCTCTTGAAGACAGCTATCCCAAAACCCCAGCTGTACCCTTTTGGATCTTGGAATTGCCCTCTCGTGGGGAAGTTTATGTCAAGGTTTCATAGATCAACATTCTTCTCCCTCCTTTCTTTTCTGGGCAGTAGTTCTCTTCCATTCTCAGGGGCCTGACTTTCACACCCTCTGTTTTCTCCTGCATATAGAGGGAACGAATCCTGGCACAGGTTGGTGCTCTGGCCTAGCAAGAGCAGAACCAGGGGTCTGGTCTAGTCTGGGGCCTGTCACAGTGGCTGGAGTGGCTGCGGGACATGTCAGAAGTGTTGGAGTAGCTGCAGGGCCTGTCCCAGGGCTTGGAGTGACACTGACTGAGGCACCCTTTAGGATTCCCTTTGGAATTGCCAAGGTGATAACCCCTCCTTTTCAAGCAATTCTGCAGCTTTTAAGGATTCTGCAAGTGCTCAGGAGGGAAGTTTCAAAGCACCGGAGGTGCCCACTGCTCTAGGTTCCTGCCCAGATCCTCCCATGCTCCCTGCCACTCCTCACTCTCCGGCCTTGGGACAGGTCTCTGGAGGGCATTCTTCAAGAGTTGTTTATCCTTAAACAAAAGTTGAAACACATTCAGGAGACATCACAATAGGACCATGCCAGTGATGTTCTCAGCTTTGTAGAGCTAGTGTAATTAGCCTGGAGGAGAAGGGGAAGGTAAAGGAGAGAGTGAAGAAGTGGAGAAGTGTCGCTCCTGTTTCTCCCCCTAGATTGGCTCCTTAAAGCAAAAAAGTCAAGATTATAATTCTTAAGTTTCTGAGTGATGGTTCCTGAGGTATGGAGGTAATGGCAGTGCTCAGTACAAAGAAAGGATTTGTCACATGACCAATAATTTTATAGAATCATAAGCCAGTGCTACACAACATAGCAATATATCTTTAAAGCAGACCCAGGAATGACAAAGAGCACAATGGGAACACAGGCAGCAAGTAATGTGCTATACAACACATTTCTGAAAACTGGTACTACTCAGCACCAGAGAAACCTTAGAGCAATCTTCCAGTACTTAGAGAGGACCTACAGGAAAGCTGGGGAGACAGTCATTGTCTGGGAGTGTAGTGATGGGACAAGGAGAAATGATATTAAACTAAAAGAGGGTAGGTTTAAATTGGATACATGGAAGAAGCTTTTTCCTCTGAGGATGGTGAGGCCTCAGAGGAAAAAGCTTCTTCCACATATAAGAGGGGTCAGCCTCTTCTCTCAGATAACTAATGATAGGACTTGAGGAAAAGGCTACAAGCTGTGCCTAGGGAGATTTAGATTAGATATCACAAAAACCTT